GGACACAACATCTTTGTTTGTATGTGGTGCTAAGGATCGAACCTGGGCCGCACGCATGCCAGGGGAGCGCGCTACCGCTTCAGCCACATCCCCAGCCCAAGAAAATGATACCTTAAAATAGCTTAAACCATTAACTATGCTTGTCTGATATCTTGGTTTTCATGCATAATATAAAAATACCTGGTAAAATGGATAAGTAATGTTTTCTATAAATTGGATGAACATTTAAAAATGTATTAGTTAGGAAACATCTAAATCTTTTGCAATTTTTTTTTTTTGTTTTGGTTACTGGGGATTGAACCCAGGGGCATTCAACTTCTGAGCCACATCTTCAGCCCTTCCTATTTTTATTTTTAGACAAAGTCTTGCAAAGTTGGCAAGGGCCTGGCTCAGTTGCTGAGGCTGGCACTGAATGTGCAATCCTCCTGCCCCAGTCTCCTGCTTCACTGGGACTATAGGCATGCACCAGGGTGCCCAGCTCATCTGAGGCATTTTTAAGTTAAAATACTGAAATTTCAGTTGCTAAAAATAAATTCCAAGACTCTTTCCCACTATTGTAAGATAAGAAAAAATAGGGCTTAGTTTGTAGCTCAGTGATAGAGTGCTTGCCTAGCATGTAGGAAGCACTGGGTCCAATCCTCAGCACCACATAAATATAAACAATAGATAAAGGCATTGTGTCAATCCACTACTAAAAGACAAGAAAATATGTATTTGGTTCTATTAATATTGTGTTCTATGATTGTTTTTAGCAAGCAAGCAGCAGGTTTATTGCCAAAGCCACAGTAACAGACTTTCTGGAAGAGAAGGGGCTCTGGAGCCAGGAGTGACATGAAGTTGTCATATATGGACAAAACAGTATCAAATTGCTTTGTTTCTTGATCTTCACTAAAAATCAAGGTTACTGAGAGTTAAAATTCCAATTAACAGATGGAATTCTATATGCAAAGAATATAAAGACTATAAACCTTGTTTATTGAACTGCTCTAGCAAACAAAATATTTCATCTTGTTGAGAAAAGGAGTCATTTGTCTAAATTCAGGAATTTTGTAAGGATTATTTTAAATTGTAAACTAAAGAAAAGAAAAAGGCAGAAACGAATCAGTAAGTAGGAACAACGAGATATAAGCATGCACTGAGCTTGAGGACATATTTTGGGAGAATGTTTTTGGATGAGAAAAGATTTTGTA